TATATATATATATATATATATATATATATATATATATATATATCTTAATAAATTTTTTATATATTTTAATAAAAAAAATTAAGATGAATATAATAGTTAGGTATAAAAACCATTATTAATTTTTAAAAATAGAGTTATAAATAAAATATAATAAAATAATAAAATATATTATATAACTTAATTTTTTATTGAATGTATATGGGGATTATCAAATATTGCTTACAAATTTTCTGATTCATAATCCTCAATATATTCTGGAAGAGGGAGAGTCGCTTCATCCAGATGTGAATTTTTATATTTAGGATCAAGTTATTGGCTGAAAATGCCCTAACAGTTGTTTTTTGGTGGTGGAAATTTGGCAAGCACCTTGAGAAGTGGAGATAAAACTCTATTTCAAAGAGTTAGAGATGGAGAAGGAGGGTCATGTCAACCAAATTTGACACTAGAACAACTTGAGATAGTAAGACAATTGACGTTAAATGTGGCGAGACGTGAGTCAGCGCAACATGAGGCGGCAATGTAAACTCAAATGGAGACAATGAGGCAAGAACAACAATGACAAATGGAGGTCATGGAAAAGAGACAAGTTGATATGGAACAGCAAATGAGACAATTTATGCAAGAATTTGGTGAAAATCAAAACTTTCATGGTCAAGAGCCGGAGGATGACGAAAACGAAGATAATTTTGAAATTGACAATTATACCAACCAAGATGACCCGTAAACTTAAATTTTTTTTTTACTTTTAAATTAAATATGTGTACTATATATATTAATTAAATCTACTAATTAATTCTTAAGTTTATAATTTTAATTTATTAATTTTATTATATTAAATTTAATATATTAAATTTATTATATATTGAATTTATTAATTTAATTTATTATATATTGAATTTATTAATTAATATTATTAATTTAATTAATTATAAAAGAAAAAAAACTCTCAGTTATTGAATTTAAAAAAAAAAAATTAGTGACGTGAGTTACATGTCACAAAGTGCTCTTTCCTCTTCATTAAGAAGTGTTGGTTCATTTTGAAAGAGGATTTCAATCGGTTTTTTAATTATTTCTATGACGGGAGTGTGGTTTCTAAAGGAGTTACCTCGTCTTTTCTAACTTTGATACCTAAGTCTTCGAATTCTCTAGGTTTGGACAATTATAGGCCGATATGCTTGATGGGTTGTATGTACAAGTCTATAGCGAAGTTGTTGGCTGGGAGATTGAAAAGAGTCTTGGATTCTATTATTTCACCTTGTCAAAGTGCTTTTGTTTCGGGAAGAGAATTACTTGATGGTGTTTTAGTGTCTAACGAGGTCGTTGATTTTGCTAGGAAGGAGGGGAGGAATTGTCTTCTTTTTAAAGTGGATTTCGAGAAGGCATGCGACAAAGTTAATTGGAATTATCTTCGGTTTGTTTTGAGAAGGATGGAGTTTGGGGAAAAGTGGAGAAGGTGGATGAAGCTTTTGTTCTTTCAAAGAAAAATGTCGGTGCTTGTTAATGGTAGCCCCACTAAAGAGTTTAGTATAGAGAGGGGTTTGAGACAAGGGGATCCGCTCTCCCCTTTTCTCTTTGTCTTGGTTGCGGAAGGTTTAACGGGATTGGTAAGAAAATCTATTGAGATAGGGGAGTATGAGTCCTTCCGTATCAACGAAAATTGTTTGGTTGACATTCTCCAATTTGCGGATGATACTTTATTGGTGGGAGAGGGCTCGTGGAAGCATGTGAGGGCGATCAAAACGGTGTTTAAGGCTTTTGAATTGGTCTCGGGGCTTGGCATTAATTATCAAAAAAGCAAGTTGATTGGAGTTAATTCTAGTCACAAATTTTTAGAAGTCGCCTCTTATGTGTTATCTTGTAAGGTTGAAGGGAGTAACTTTGTCTTTCTTGGTATTCCTATTGGGTCCAATCCAAGGAAGGCATCTGCGTGGAATCCTTTATTATGTAAGATGAAAAAATATCTTGGAGGGTGGAAGAATCGGTTTCTTAATTTCGGTAGGAGAATTACTCTTCTAAAATCCATTTTGTGCTCTCTTTCTATTTTCACCATGTCCTTTTACAAGATGCCGGTGAAGGTGGTGATAGATTTCATTAGAATCCGAAGTAATTTTCTTTGGGAAGGTGTGGAGGAAAAGAGGAAGATCCATTGAATTAGTTGGAGAAAGGTTACTTTACCATTGGAGAAGGGTGGTTTAGGCATTAAAAATTTGGTGAACTTTAATTTGGCCCTTCTTAATAAATGGCGGTGGAGAATTTTGCAAGGTCAAAATACCTTATGGCTCATGGTGTTGAAAGCTCGTTATAGGGACGTGTCAGTAAAGGCTTTGTGTGGGGGTGTTCCTTCTACTTCCTTTTCATCCTCTTCTTGGTGGAAGGATATTCTTACGTTGAACAAATTTGCTCTAGAGGACCCTATCTTCTCAAATTATAAGTTCGTCATTAGAAATGGTTTCAAAATGCCTTTTTGGGAAGCAAGGTGGTTAGATTCCTTTCCTTTAAAAGAGGTTTATTCAGAGTTTTTTGCGGTTTCTTCTTTGAAGGAAGTGGCGGTGGCGGGTATGTGTGGTTGGATAAATGGTGGATGGAAGTGGGGGAATTTGGGTATTGATGAAAGGGAGGTCTTGCCATCTTTGACGGACAAGGTGGTTAGTTTGAAGGAGAGAATAGGTATGTATGGTAATCTATCAGAAGGAGTGGATGAGGTTTTTTGGCGCATCAATCTGGTAGAAGGATTTACTGTTTCTTCTGGTTACAATTGTTATGCTAGTAAGAGAATTCCTTTTGGGTCTTTGAATAAGTTTGACGGTGTTTTCAGTTTAGTTTGGAATTCGGAAGTCCCTTTTAGAATTAAGTCTTTTGGTTGGAGGCTTCTTCTTGATAGACTCCCTACTAAATATCAGTTGGCGGTTAGAGGTATTTCTTTTCCTTTAAATTCTATGTGCTATTGTTTTTGTGGCACTCATGTGGATAGTAGGGATCATTCTTTTTTCAGTTGTGAAGTGGTAAAGTCCATTTGGTTGGGCATAACGAATTGGGTGGGTATAACAGAAGTGGAGTTGACGGAGTGTCATTCACATTTTATATTTTGGTTTTTCTTTTGTAGACATAAAAAAGTGAAGGAAGGTAAACTGAGTGTTATATGGTTAGCAACAGTGTGGTGTATATGGTTGGTTAGAAATGGTATATGTTTCCGGAATGTGGATTGGAATGTGAATAATACAGTTTGGAGCATTAAATCTTTGGCTTGGAAGTGGTCTTCGTGTGGTAAGATTACACATTCCAATTGTAGCTTCTACGAGTTCAACAAGGACCCCTTATTCTTCTTGTCGTAGTTTGTAATTGGTTTGTAATTTTCCCGTTCTTCTTTGTTGGTGGTGTTTTGACCACATCTTTGTGTAAGAGGTTTGGAGAACCTTTAGTTCTCCGTTTAATATAATCCTTGATTACACAAAAAAATGTCACAAAGTTGTGACATGTAAATCACGTCGCAATATAATTTATTTAAAGAAGGAAACATTGATTAAACGTGTATTGTAATAATACAGCGACGTGATTTTTACGTCACAAGTTAGTGGCGTGAAAATCACGTCGCAACTTCATTTTTATATATAAAAAAACAAAAGCTGAATACAAAATGGAGTATTAAAACGTGAAAATCACGTGGCAAATAAAATGACTTTGACTATGTTGCGTCTGTTTTTCCTGCAACGTTGTAATTCCCATAAAAGCATGTCGCGACATGATTTTCACGCCACAAATTTGTGACATGAAAATCACGTCGCAAACAATTTGTCACTTGCTCCCCAGCCACGTAATTGTTCACGTCGCAAATTATTTATTGTGACGTGATTTTTCAAATTGTGACGTGAAATTCACATCACAAATGAGAGTATTTTTGTAGTGAGATATGCAAGGATAAATGTAGATTAATTAGACTTTTTTTGTATTAATTATAATAAATATTTATTTCTGGTTCATGAATTTGTTAGAGAATAGCTATGATTTTAGCTATCGATTAGCTATAAAATTTTATAGACATAAATATGTGATTGGTCTTAGCCACGTGTCATATATTAGTGTCACGTCAGCTCTATTAATAGATGTTAGCAGAAATGACCAAAAATGTAGATGAAAAATTTTAAAGGGACTATTCTTTCAAAGAAATATTTAGAGGGATTAAAAATGAAATTACTATATTTAGAAGGATAAAAAATTTATTTAACCCATTTGAAAAATAAGAATGAATTTTTTTTTAAATTTAGAAATTTTGAGACTAATTTTCAGCTTTTAAACATTTTGGGCTCAATTTGGAAATTTTAAAAAGAATTTTTTTTTTTTATGTATTTTAAAAATTTTGCGTCAAATTTGAAATAAAGATTAATTTTTTAAAATATTTTTTTATAAGCTCAATTTTTATAAAATATAAAATGACTGATTTGTAAAATTTAGAAATTATTTGCGACAATTTTGCAATATTTAAACTTTTGTAGTTATTTTGGAAATTTGAAAAAAGAAGTTATTTTTATATATTTTAAAAGTTTTGGATCAAAATTATACTCTAACTTAAAGAAATATTTCATCATTTTAAGAATTCTTTATATCTATCCAATCGATTGATTTATGTCAAAATGTATTAAATTTCTTTACAAAAAATTATTTTATTACATTAAACCTCTCATAACGCAACATCGCTCTAAAAAATATTACGAAAGTGGATGAAAAAAGAGAGGACAGAAAGTGCAAACAAACTTGACATATAGAAGAAGTTAATTTATATGGTCAACCATAACCACCTTGCTACATTATTGACACAAATTATACAATAATAATGAATTTAATTTTAGAACATTAACGATACACCCTTAAGAAAAAAATACATCTGTATAACGAAAGACCACATTCATGGATACATGAAAAGCAAATAATCAAAAAACAATTTTGGATTAGATAGATTTTTCTGAAGATGTGTTGCGTCTAGAAAGATAAATGACACTTTCTTGTTAATGAAACAACACACATGCCCAAATGAACAACGGTATGAAGTATAGTCCACTTAATTTAATCTTATATGCTCCTGCTTCATCACTTCCAAGTGTTGCTGCAAATTGATAAAAACTCAGATTATTGCTAAAACACTCCCATGGTTTTGTTATATAGTGTAACAAATATGAACTTATGAGACATTTTTACCTGGAGGTGTCACCAATGAAGGAGAAAAAGCTGGAGAAGAAGCTGTAGTTTTCCAAAAAATTTGATTAAAATTAAAATCAGAACCATATAGTTACCAATATTATATAGATCAGATACATCAATTATTTAAACTCGATGAAAATACCTTTGCAGGAAGTGACATCAAACTCGACACCGCAAGCATGAACAACTTGGATAGCCTGATGAAGCTGAACACCAAAACCTTCAAGTAATCCAGGAGTTGCAAGTTGACAGAAACATGTTTCATGGGATGTGTGATACATATCTTGAATTGGATTGCAACAAATGTCTGGTGGGTTAGTGGAGTTTAGGTAATCCATGCATGGTAATATCTGATCAGCACAAGGTGGAGCCGTTTGTGCATCTACTAAACTAATCACCATCATGCTAATCACCACCATAATACACATAATTATGTAATTATCCATTTTTGTTAACAAACTAATGACACGATTACACCTTAATTAATTATGTTCCACTCTAATTTTTCCTTTGGTTTGAAGAGTGGGTTGTTATATATATAGTTCCCATTGCCTCACTGGAAACGTTTATTTTATACTTGGATATATTATAATAAATCAGAGGGTGACTCTTTCATGTAAGATTAGCACCGCAAAGGAATTAATATATGGAGCTATTTGGAGAGATTCTCTACCATCAGGAAAATATTCTTACTTTGTCTCTATATGTCTCTATAACAACATTATGTTGTCCTATTACATTGTCCTAGTAGAATTCATAGACTTTCGAGTTGAAATTGTTTGATAGTCATTTTCTCTCTTAAATATGATAAAATGTGTTGTTATTCTTTTTTAAATGATTAAACCAATTCTTATAAAAATAATTTAAAATATACAATATAGTTATAGATGAGTTTTTCTATTTTCCGTAAAAGATCTGCTATATTTTATGTTTGAAAAGTAAAAATATCAAAGGTAAATTATAAAAAATATGTTGAATGTCAAAACACGTATTTTTATATTTGACTATTTTATATTAAGCAATTTTGGGGTTATCAGTCTCATAATAAAATCTCTGGTCCTCAATCTAATTAATGGAGCAACTTCAGCCAAGTCCACACATACATGTTTCTCTCTTAGTCAACCGTACACAAAGATATATGTTAGCCTAAATGCCAATTGTCCCTCTTAGGGATCAATCAAAAAATACATAGGCATGTCTTTCTTCACATACTTCGACTCGCCCTAATATATCAAATAAGTCATTCCTAATAAGATCGTATTTGAAGCCTAAAAGCTTCTTATGATGAATCGCATGTTCCCCAAATATAACAATGCATTTTGCGACAAACAAGACAAACATCATCAATAGGAAATAAATAAAAAATTAAAGGTGATACTTAAGGATAGTATGATATTCTACTAGTGACATGTGTTGATATAACTCATCAATACGAATAGCAAAGAGAAAATCTTGAGAATTTGTTGCTTGCAAATAACCAAAAACTATTTTATGTTGTTTTGTGGTCATATCAAACTTTATGTCCATGTACTAAACACTTTTACTAAAAAGGAAACTCGCCAAAATATATTGTACTTTAGGAGGGATGATGTCTTTGCTAGTAAAATTACTAGAGTCAAAATTTAAAATCGATCATCTATAACTCTTTTGAAATCATATTTCATACAATATATCTCATTGTCTCTCAATATATGATTTGGTAACAACCAAGATTTGGCACTAGAAGCCACACAAACGTATGACCCAACCTCTACTTCTGAGTAAAAACTCAATCTCCTTACTCTAATGAACAAAGAAGTCATCTTCCACTGAAGGTCTTCGAAAAAATTAGTCTTTACCAACCACGAAATTTTTAACTGTCACAACTCTTTATCAAATCAAATAGTTGCTTCCTCCATATGATAACGTTGACACGGTCTTAGGCTCAAGAATAGTTTAGTGATATATATGTAGGATCGAAGTAGAAGAAACATTAACTCAACAGTCCTAACAACTCTCTTCATGGACAACTCCTCGATAAAGCTTCCATCTTGACTAATAGCCCTTCCAAACAACTTCATCCCCAACATTGAACTTTCAATATCGAAAGGAAACAACCCCCTCGCGAAGTTTACTACCATCACACGAAGGCTAAAAGCTTTCAATTTTATAAATATTCAATTTGAGACCTAATTTTGGACTCGTTTTCCAAATAATGTTAATGGCTTTAGCCACTTCTTCTGAATCGCCTATGAAGATTTTGTCATCAAAATACAAAATATGAAGAAGAAGCTTACAATTGTCTCTAATATAATAAACAAATGGGTGTAACACAAGAAAAAAAAAGAAACAGCTCTGATAAGTCAATTTATTGCACTCCTATAACTGATATAATATGTCAAATCTCAAAATATAATCACATTGTCTGATTAAAAAAACTCAACCACAAATAAATGATCTTACTCTCACTTTACACATAAGAGCTGATTAACCTACCATGTTAAAAACATTCTAAGCATTCTAAAATATGGTATTAACATAATTTATAAAAATATATATATATAATTAGAAAAGGAGATAAGTGTACTATTGAGGAAGTACTAGTTTGATATAAAAATGGTTGTTGACATTTCATTCACTCAAGACATGGGTGGATATATTGAAGCATTGATTGGTTCAAACGAAATGATAAAGAGACTAGTTTTGACGTGCGTACCAAACAAGAAAAGTTGTATAAGAGCATTATTTGTTAATTTTCCAACATGGACTAGTCAACTTGCTAATTAGTGATAAACCTTATTATCTTTTATTGGCTAGTTGTTAGATGTACATATCATATCATGGAGGATTTTCTAAATTAATTTGTTATAGGCTAAGTTTGGTGGAATCAAAATGAGGATATAATAAAATATATAATTGGTCAAATGAATTATACAATTTTTATAAATACAAAAAAGAAATGTGTTTAATTTATTCTTGTCTGGCTCCACCATTGTACGATAAAACATTAATTGTTAATGAGAGAAGAGTAAAGCTGAAAGTAGGTAGGAAGAGGCAGAAAAGGAAGGAAGGATAACATAAATGGTGAATCTAAGACAAACATGGTAGGTTACTTGTCTAGACTGATTGAGTATCGTCGATCATTGATGAAGTTTAGGGGTCCATTTATACACAAGTCAAATCACTAATTATAAGGAGTGAAAATTTACAATTTGTGAATAAATAAAAAACTTCAGTAGATTTGAGTTGAAAATTTAGAGGGAGAAAGTTTTATTTTGCAGAAATTAAAAATAAAATAAATTATTTTATATTTTTTGTTGGAGCTGGAGTGGAATTTTGACATCTTCGAAAATATATAAAACATTAGGCTCATTTAAAATTGAACAAGAAATAATATGGTCTACTATAGATAAAAAACTGTATGAAAAAAAGTTTTAAAAAAAAAACATTAACTTTGATACAATCTATGTTAATATCATAAACAACTGTGGTATTTTTATTTTAAGTTGTTTATTTGTAAGTTGACACAGTTAATATAACTTAAATTGTGTGTGCTTGTGTAGTTTAATGATAAAAATTTGGGTTTTAAAGATGTATTTTTTTTAAGGTCTTAAGTTTAAATCTTCGTAAATACAAATTATTTATTAACAAATATAAATATATATTACCTGAGTTGTCTTATACATTTATTATAAATAACTATTAATCTTTCAATAAATAATATATTTTATTTTTCGGCATTGCTAATTCGGCTATTCTTTTTTTCTTTAAACAAAGTATTCACACATGCTTTCCACTTCGTTCATTATTCGAAAGTTTTAAATTTGGACGAACAAATTGTTTCTTTTGAATCGACTCCACCATAATGACCATGAATGCCTACATATCCCTTAACTTGGATCAAGTCATTCATAGCTCGATTTTCCTTTCACATGACTCAACATCTGATGATATTAAACAAGTCCAAACAATTTTGGAACTTACCGCTTGTAGCAACTTTGGTGAACTTATTTGTTGAGTTATCATCAATGTGTACCTTCATAAAAGATATATAACATTCGTCTACGACATCTTGTACAAAATGATATCTTGCATTGATATGTTTCGTTCAAGTATGAATCTAACTATTAGTTAAATGAATCATACTTTGATTATCACAATTCAAATTCACATGTTCTTGTTTAATGCCTAATTCATCTAGAAGAGCCCTCAATGACAATGTTTCCTTCACTACTTCCACCATGATCATGTACTCGATAGTTGTAGTAGATAATGTCACTATAAGTTGTAACATCGATCTTCATCTAATTGAAACACCATGTATTTTAAATACATAACCAATAGTAGATCATCATTTATATTGTCGACGTAATCTAAATCAATGAAACCGCTTATGTGACACACATCTTTACCAAAACACAAATTTATGTTAATGGTACCTTTCAAGCATCTCAAAATCCACTTTATCACTTCTCAATATGTCTTTCTTGGATTCATCGTGAATCACTTGTGAAATATATGGACATGTACATACCATGGCGTACATTAAACTTCTAATTTCAATAGCATAAGATACATAATATATGTATGCATTATCTTCTGTTGTAGTAGGAGATTGTATATTAGATAAACTAAAACGTGGAGTGAATGAAGTAACCACTCGCTTAACACTTTTCATCCTGAACCTTTCAATAACCCACTTTTGGTTTGAACTTTCTCTTTCGTAATACCATGTCCCATTAATTTCTGAATATAGACCCAACTATCATAATCATATTTGGAGAATCCTTGTTTTGACAAAAAGAATCAAATCACTTGTACTGATGGCAAGGAGATTGCTTCAATCCATACGCGAATTTTCTCAAGCAACACACATGACTTTCCTTACCCTCAACTTTTAATCCCTCAGGATCATACATATATATATTTACTTATAGAAGTCACTGAGCAAGTAGTATGTCTTCACATCATGTTGTTTCAAGCTTGAGATCACCATGAGCTACAAAACTTAATATCTCGTTGTAATCAAATCATTCCTTTTGTGTGGACCTTTTAGCCACTAGTATAATATTGTCCCTTGCACCACCTAACTTAGTATGTATTATTTTATTTTATACACCTACTTACAGCTCATACTAGACTTCCCCACAAGCAATGAAGCACTTTTCATGTCTTGTTCTCATTGAGAGATTTCATCTCTCCCTCCATGTCAACCAATCAACACTCTCTATCATTATCTTTAATAGCTTGCTTGAAAATGGTCGGCTCATTATCCTCCATCGAGATTGCATATTCAACTAAATTTATCATCGCATTGTCTCTGAGGCTTGTCTGGCCCTAGCTTCTAAACTAGCTTATAATTGTTCTTTGGTTTAATAGTATATGTTCCATTCAGGAACCAAAAATGAATGTTTTAGCTCCGCTTAGGAACCAGAAATGAAGATAGTTGGATAATTGTTGATCTTTA